TGGAGGTTGCTGTGAGCTGTGAAGCCACGGCATTCTACCCAGGGGGATAGCTTGAGGCTCTGTCTCAAAAAAAAAAAAAAAAAAATCTCTGTATAGAATAACCTCAATTGCATATACATTTGGGTTTTTTTGCAGTTTTTGGCCGGGGCTGGGTTTGAACCCGCCACCTCCGGCATATGAGGCTGGCACCTCACTCCTTTGAGTCACAGGTGCTGCCCTGCATATACATTTTTAATACTTAGAAAAAACAAGGGTGAAGTTTCCTTTTTGGCATTTTTGACAATACACCTCAATTTTAATAGAGGACAAATTGCATTTTGAGAATATATCTCAAGTTAACATTTTTTTTTTAACATTCATTTTTTGCTCCAAAACTTTGATAATCTTCTTTATTAATTATGGCCTTTCTTTTTATAGGATCGCCTGGGGTTAAAGGAGATGGACAAGGCAGGACAGCTGGTGTTTCTGGCTGTAGAAGGGGACCATCTTCAGCTGTCTGTAGAATGGTTTTATGACCATATCATACCCTTCCTTGAATGAAACCCTTGCAGTTTGCAACAGAGGTCAGGGAGCCCCTAACTCTTCTAAACCACGCAGGAGAGCAGTTTGTTTCATGCCCAAGCCTGAGCTCAGGTTCACCTTGCAACTAATCCTTTCCTATCATCATCTAATATGCCTTGGAAAGATCTAAGATCCATATCTTATCCTTTCTTGCCTATCACCATATGGTGTTAAATGCAAATTTAATTAGTAACCATGGAGATTATTTTACAGCCTTTTGTTGTGGTCAATCAAGTTCAGTCCTAGGAAACATAAGTCTGCTGCAGATCAGTGTCAGAACTGTGCTCAGGCCCAGAAGATACTGAACAAATTAAAGCCAATGAGATAGATTCTAAGGGCAAATGTCTTCCTCAGGAAAGCCTAGTCACATTTCAAGCATAGAGGAGGCTGGTATCCAGGCCTGCAGTTCTGATATAACTGCTTTGTCAGTTTTGCTCATGATTTAACCAGTGCTTGGAAAGGAATTGTTCAGATGTTCTGCATAATTCTTAAGGCCACCCTCCTCTCTGTTGCCTTCCCTCATTTTAGCAATTACTAGACAGATCCCACTGGCCTACCATCTTGCCTCGACAGCACCATTTTGTTTCCTTAGATAGTGATGAATATGTTGCTCTGTTACAGGGGGAAGGTGCACCCAATCGGTTACTTAAGAGAGGAACATACATCTTGTATAACCTAAATAGACGGTGAAGAAAATGTAAGAGTGAAGAATAAGGCAGCTAGTTCTTTCCATTCCACCCTTGACCAACCTGTCCTTTCTTAATATGACTTGTAGTCTGCACGCTAGAATTATAATTGTTGGCTTTAACAGAGAACGGGAAAAGCAATGTGAAGAGACTGGGCTTTCTAATTTTCCTCTCCCCCAGAATCACTTACCACCATATTACACAGTATTTCTGATGTGTTCTGTAAGAAAATAAGTGTTTGCTCAAAAAGCTTAGAAAATACTGTACACTCCCTTTCTCCTTTTGGAGATCAATCCCCATTAGAATATCTAAAGACTCTTTTAAGAATTCCTGTTACACAGCTCCGTGCCTGTGGCTCAAGTGGCTAAGCGGCTAAGGCACCAGCCACATATACCTGAGCTGGCAGGTTTGAATCCAACCTGGGCCCACCAAACAACAATGACGGCTGCAACCAAAAAATAGCTGGGCATTGTGGTGGGCACCTATAGTCCCAGCTACTTGGGAGGTGGTGGCAGAAGAATCACTTGAGCCCAGGAGTTTGAGGTTGCTGTGAGCTGTGATGCCACGGCACTCTACCCAGGGTAACAGCTTGAGGCTCTATCTCAAAAAAAAAAAAGTTCCTGTTACAGAAAACTAACTATAATGTACCATCTCCTACACTATTGAGGCATGGAGATCACAGCCCCTACTCTGTGAACATGTATTAACACCTTTTGGGAGACTGTTTTGTAGAATGCAAACTAGAGAATTTATGAGCTATGCTTTGATACAAAAGACCTTGTTAGTGCTGCTAAATTTACCCTTCGTGAGTTTTCCTTTCTCTCTTAAACCTTATTCTTCAACTAAAAGATGAAGATTAAGGGTAAGAAGGGGGGGATGCGAAAATAAAGAGTAGTTTCGTAATTCTTGGTGTCATTTTTCTTTTTTCAGTATTTTTATGTCTCTGTACAGCAAATATCATAAAATAACTAAGCAAGTTTGGTATTAACTTTATTCTATTTTCTGTATAACTTTAAGTACATAAAGGTTTATTTCCACAGGCCTCAGGAAATGGGTAGAAATCACAGGACTATCTCTCTTCCCACCAAAAAAAGTTGCATATTTTGGTAATTGTTTGTCTGGAGTGGGGGAATGAAATTTATTTAGCAATGCTGTGTAAGATTCTTACATAAATTGAGACCTAAAACCAGTCCGCAGGGGAGGTTTTAGTCCTCTGGTTCAGGTGCCTGGACAGAAGCTGTTAAGTTGTTGAGCATGACACAAGAAAGGAGGCAGTGAAGATGGATGACAGGCACCTAGCAGGTAAAGAGGAAGGAATGCCAGACATCTTGGATGATGTGTTGTTGAAGGTGCTAGGCAGGAATCCCAGAGAAAGAAAGAGTCCAAGACACCTTTAATGGCCCTGGATGAAGGGCACTGCTCCAGTACCTAGTACCAAAGAACCTCCTATCTCATGGTTGAAACAGACCCAGGATGGAATGCAGAATAAAAGGAATGCTTATAGAAAACAATTTCACTTGGAATGCCAAGATGGCCAAGCCTCAGCTTTTGATCCAGTTCTACCCTTGCCCTCTTGTCAACAGTGAAAAATTAGTTAGGTTAGAAGAACTGTCTGGAATCAATACCAGCTTCTACTACCCTCATGCTCATTGTTAGAAAAAAGATTAACTAGTGTGAACATTCTGATCTGTTAATTCCTAGGACTGTTTTATTCTCTCAAAGGACTGTCTGTTGGTAGAATAACACCCCCAAAACCAAAAGCTGAAAGGCACCAGTCCTGCTCTGCAGTTCCTTAAGAATGGACTGGTGGTGTGATTGAACTGATATGGAAAGGTCGCACCTTACTGCAGAAGATCAACTGACTTGCTATCCCACCCCAAATCTCAGCCTGAGGTATATTTCAGTGAAGGCAGGTAGCTGTGCTTCTCAGAGTAGAGAAGCAGTTTAAGAGCAGAAAGGTAGAGGAAATCTAGAAAAGAACTGTCTTGATACAGATTTATCCCATGGTGTGAAGGGAGAGGGCAAAGAACCCAGTGGCACTTCGCTTAACCAGCAATTTCTGTCACTGTGGTGACCAACTTCTGCCCATTCCATAAGGTCTTGAACTGCTCAGGGACTGGAAACTCATTCTGCAAATAAAGAAGACAAAGGAAAAGTTTGAATACTTTTCTCCCAATATTTGCTTCTACTTAATCCTGAGAGTAGGATGTACTAAGAGGCAACTAAACCCATCAAGTCATGCTGTGTTATACTGTTCACTGTTCAATCTGTGATCTTAGACAGACTGTTAAATCTATGAGGTGTAAATGAGAAGACACATGACTGCAGCACCAGCCTGACAGTGAGCCATGACTCATTCCCATTCTGTTCTGCTACCCTGAGCTCAACTTAAAAGGCAGAAACCTGCTTTGGAGCTTCACTACCTTGGACTACCTTACTTTTGGTGTGCACTGTTGGTTTTACCTCTTCAGTGCAGAATGTTCATCAAATAGCTTTCTCCAATGCAAGAAACTTTCAGTTCCTTTTGTTTTTAACATCATACTAATAAAGAGCTCAAGAAACTCACAAAGTCACCGCTTTCCGTAGGAATGAGGACATTCATCTCAGAAGATTTGGCACTGACTATCTCACAATCCAGGGAATTCTTGCTCAAGTAAGCATGGCAGCCATCTGTTTTGTTGATGGAAATGGTTGGCACTTTACCCATTACCTGCAGAGTAAACCAAGAGAATTCAGTCCTAGCAGTGGGAGAAGACAACAGTAAACTGGAGGAAAAACATTCCCTATTTCCCAGGATTCAGCAACTACATGAAAAGCTCACAGGTGTGCAACAGACATCCGATACTCGGGGTGGGATGGGGGGCGGGGGAGGGACAGGTGCTGCAAAAGGCTCACTTGAAGAGCCAACCCCTCTTCTGCCATATCCAAAGCAGCTCTGCTTACAGCCTTTGTAGAATCAGATTCCCACCAAAGCAACATCTGTGCGTCTGCTGTGTCTCTTTCAATTCCTCAGGGACCAAAAGAAAAAGCCAAGATATCAAGTTACCTGAACTTTGACATCCCTACTATTGATTATCTCCACGATGCCCACCACGTCATCAAATACCAGACCAAGTTTCTTACAGTTATCTAGGAGGAGAAAGAGAGCATGTCAATGATGCAACTTGAAAGTATTATAATACATTAAGAATCTTTAGGAAAACAGTAGGTAAAATGGTTCTAGCCCTCTCAAGCTCAGGACACAGCCTGCCTAGGAGAGTGACACAAAGACTCACCTACTGTAATGGAGTTAATTTTGCCCTTGATTTGCAATGTGGTGTTGACACACTTGTATATGTAAACCACCTGTTTCAGCTCTGTGTCATCAATCACCAGGTTGGAAACATTCTCCTGATTTTCCTGTTAAAGAGATAACCCCAAGATCTCACCATGAAGCATTCATCAATTACAACAAAAGGCTCTCCCAAACTTGTTCTCACAATACAAGCCAGAACCCTGCACTGGGCTGAGTTCAATTTAACCCTCTACTCCTACTCCTTGTACCTCCAGTCTTGGTCTTTTTTACTCACCACTCTCCACTTCTTGCCCTCCAGTTCAAGTAGAGCTGGCTCCTTCTTTGTGGTTGGTTTGGGGGATGGGCTGGTTTGGGGTTTGGGTGCAGAGAACGGCTTGGGGCCACTGCGTACTGGACCACTCTGAGCCTTCAAGGCAGGGTTCTTGTGAGTCTTCATGTCATCAGATACATGTTTTAGGGCTGTAAGCACAACAGCTACCTGTTTCTGTCCTTCAGACCAGGGCTTTGGGCTGAGGCATAACCAACTTTATCACAAGTAAACTGATCCTTAACAGGAAATTCAAAGCCAAAACCAGAACCTTTGAAATACTCTTTTGCAAGTAATTTTGGACAAGTGCTTTTTAGAATTACTCTTCTCTGCCAAGGTTAAACTATAAGGTTCTGTTTGGTAAGAAGAAATAAAAACCACCCACAACTAACCTTACTCCCCACCCTCCCCAATAAGTGTTAACATTTGAAACTCTCTAATATGTTTTTCTATTCCTATCTGTCTTTGTTCAGTTATAAATATACACATTGTAACAAATTTGGTTCAACCAATTGACACCACACAAAACTTTCTCAGGAGTGTATATTCAGGGTAATTTGAACCTGTGTCTCAGGTTAAAAATATTTTTGAGAAAAACACATACACAAACTTTCATGTTAGCCTACAGCTTCTAAAAATATCTTTCTTTTATTTTTTAAGGGAAAAGATTCTATGATCTCCCTCAGCAGGCTGCTGACACACCTTGCTGTTGAATGTGGACCGATCTATGTTGACTATGTAGCCAATACTGAATGGCCACGACTTCCCAGAGACCATGTAGTATTAACGGAAAAAGCTGTGGGGAAAACTGCCAGCACTGTATCATGGCCATATATAAATAATATATTGATATGCTACTTAAAATTAAGTCACTTTCCCATGGAACAGAGGGCTTCCTCCTACTATAATCACCCATTTTTAATTTCCACTTAAGCAGGTCTGCGTCTCTTTGTACAACTCAAAGGAACGTTACCCCCCAAATGCATACAAGCCAGGATTCAGTTTTACTGACTAGCTGTTGAGTTTCCCGTTGGTGAGGTCTGGCTCCGACAATTTGCTGTACTAACTGTGTCACAGTACTCACGTACCATGTGTGATGCTCTCCCCCTGATTAATCTGCGCAAACAGTGCTGAACGGGATGTAGACTCATCAGAGCCTGAACTGGTGGGGACTGGGGGAGGAGGTGGTCCTGGCGGTGGGGGAGGAGGGCCTGATCCAGCAGAAGGTCCAGATGGTAATCCACTCAGTTCTTTTGCCACAGGCCCCTGGAATAAGTACAAGTCACACAGTCATCCTCTCTCTTCCAATCTGTACCATCCATAGTAGGGCCTTAACCTGTGTCCACTGTACATGGGGTCCTCACTAGAGCCATTAAGGCAATGATTAATGGTCCCACTACCCATGCCCAACTCTGCTTTTTTCCTTTTCAACCCTTCCTAAAGATCCAACTCTCAGCTTCATTCCTCAACCTTCACATTTTTCCTTTGACCTCACCTTTTCCAGCTCTAAACATCTATTTCCAAAAATCTGCTTGACATCTCCTTTAGTGTGTCATCAGTATTTTAGATTTAACAAACTCAAAACTGGTTTCATCAACTCCTGGTTGCTACCCTACCTATATAATCATCCCCTTGTTCCTATTTCAGTGAAAGACATCCCCACATCATGCTTGACTTAACACTAAGATCATCTTCTTTGAGGCTTCCCACTCCTTCAATCTATTTTTTTTTTTTAAACAGAGTTTTGTTTAGTTGCCCTCGACAGAGTGTTGTGGCATCATAGCTCATAGTAACTTCAAACTCTTAGGCTTAAGCGAGTCTCTTGCCTAAGCCTC